GTTGCAGTCCAGGCCCCTGAAAACGATTCCAATCCCAATTACCATTTCTCATTAAAATAATCAATGTAGCAGATCTGGAAGTATTTAGAGACCTTAAAATTCTATGTCCAAATCCTTGAGAAAAGGTCAAACCATTACACCACGGATCTTGCATATGAAACATCAGACCATTCCCAATACAGAAATTAACATGCTCCAACATAGTATCTCTGATAGACTTGAACATGTTGATGACCTCCACTTCTATTTCAAGACACCTAACTAGGATGTTGTATTGGTCAACTGACTGGTTAGGGTTTTGCTAGTGTATTTTGATAGATATTTTGCACCATGTATATATATATATATATATTTTTTTTTTTCTATCTTTGATTTCCTCCCACCCCCTAATTTTGTGAAATGATCTAAGCACAATTGATTTATTAATTTCCAAATTTTACTTGAATAGCTAAGTGAGACGTGTATATATATATATCTGGATCTCTACACTGGTATGAATCTTTTTTTGAAAGGTTACACTGGTATGATTCTTCATGCCTGCTTAAGCTTGGGAACACCCTCTCTCTGCTCCCATGCCCTAAACCTAGAAAAATAACATGAAAACACCTAGATGTAATTAATAACAACATGAGAACAGCTAGAGATAACTAATAGCAACATGAAAAGAACTGGCCGGAGCTAATTAAAAAGAGCATGAAATCAACTAGCTATGTTGATAAAGCCTAGCACAAAGTGAAGCAGCAAACAGAGTCTTGTGATATCCCACAACAGATTATCTTTGAACCAGTTTATAAACAGCAGTAAACTGATGCAAATTCCATTGTAACAACTCCCCTAACCAGCTCCAAAAACGTTGAGAAAACCTGCATTTTATAAAGACATGCTCAGTTGAATCAATAGCATTGTGACATAGGGTACACCTAGGCACCAAGCAGACCTTTCTTCTTTGAAGATTCACCAAGGAAGGCACTTTGTTTAGAAGGACAAATACAGCAGTAACAGACCATCTAGGTCTAGCTCTTCCCCAGCAAAAATTATACCAATCAACTTCTTCAACCTGAGTTTTAATACCTGCCAAGCTTTCTTGAAAGAAAATTTACATTTATCCCACATGAATTTATCTACTTCTTCAACCTGGGTTTTGATAGATATTTTGCACCGTGTTTATATATGTATATATGTATATATATATATATATATATATATATATATATATATATATATTTTTTCTATCTTTGATTACCTCCCACCCCCTAATTTTGTGAAATGATCTAAGCACAATTGATTTATTAATTTCCAAATTTTATTTAAATAGTTAAGTGAGACGTGTATATATATGGATCTCGATACTAGTATTATTCTTCATGCCTGCTTAAGCTTGGGGACACCCTCTCTCTCCCATGCCCTAAACCTTGAAAAATAACATGAAAACAACTAGATGTAATTAATAACAACATGAGAACAACTGGCCGGAGCTAATTAATAAAAGCATGAAATGAAAAAATAAAAAAATAAAAAAATAAACTAAAACTATTTCACACGATATATATATCTTATATTTTGGCTCTTCATTTATGATTTATCATTCTGATTCAATCTAGGAAAAAGTCTGTGGTATTTGCTATATTCATGTTTTTGCAGTTTAATTATAACTACCATATATATATATATAGATAGCTAGTTATATATGTTAAAAAGATGGTGGGCTTAGTGCACTGGTAAGATTGCTCCATTGTGAACTAAATGTCGAATTTGAGTCACAAAAATTATCTCTGGTGCATTGGGCTAACTTTTTCTTTAGTTACACATGTTTAAAAGAATATAGTAGTACATAAAACCAATTAGCCAAATTATTTTCATGTATGTGGCCTGATATGCCAGAGCTACATATGTACCTTGTGAAGGGAACCAAAGGGGAAGACACTATAGAGGTGTGAGGCAAAGGCCATGGGGCAAGTGGGCAGCCGAAATTCGAGACCCTAAAAAAGCAGCAAGAGTTTGGCTAGGCACTTTCGAAACAGCAGAGGCTGCAGCACTCGCATATGATGCAGCCGCTCTTAGATTCAAAGGAAACAAAGCTAGGCTCAACTTCCCTGAAAGAGTTCAAGGGAGAACCGAGTTGGGTTACTTAACAACTCATCAAGACTCGCGTGTCATGGCTCAACGAGTACTGTCTGCTGACCCGGTTGCTCCTCCTCCTCCTCATCCAGTCCTTCTGCATCAAAATATATATCCTAATTTTGCTCATTATGCACAAGATCTTGGTAGTGGGGATCATAATTTGAACCACGCCAGACCATCCGGTATCTACCATAGAGGAATGTATCTTTCGCCGTCTATGTCTTCATCTTCAACATCCTCATCTGCATCAACATATAATTGGCAACAAAAAGGAGGAGAGGTTAGAAGACTTCCATCACAGTCCAGAAGTTCTTCAAGTTGTGATCCTCCCAAGAATTGGGAAGATTTTAATCCCAATTTGGATCACTCAAAAGGATAGTTTATCCAAGTTCACTTGAGCTAGACATAAGAAGTACTAGTAAACATGAAAACTTGGGGATACATCTCATCTTATATCTATTGTGATTTTGTGTTTTTTATGCTAAAAAACCTAGCTTTCTTCTTAAGGGTTTTCAAGAAATGTTGGTTTGATAATTTTTGTTTTGTATCGCGCAGGAAATTTTGAACAATCAAAAGAAGATTTTGTGATGGAGTATGTTGCTTTTCAACATATGTGGTCAATATTTCATGAAAGTTGAATGCCTCTAATTTATGTTGATTATCACATCAAGTTACATATCTGTCACTTAGGATGGAGATGCATCAAAGAACCTTGGAGCATCACCAAATACGATTATGTTAGTTTATTTTGTAAGGTTTTATGATATGGCCCTAGCGTGGTTTTGAATATAATAATGTTGGCTCAAGTTGCTTTATAATGACTTGAAGGTTAAATGTTTGATGCGATGATGAAATTCGGCCTCGTGCACTAGACGAGCCCTTGATATGCAAAACAACATTAGAACTTTACTTTATTTCCTATGTCGACCACATCACATCTGAAGTCACTCGAAAGAACTAAGTCAGGCCTTTGTTAGTTTGAGAGTTTCTATTTTTCTTAATTGATACTCACACACCACTTCAAAGAATTGTTTGCACCAACAAAAAGTCCAACCTTAAACTTAATACTTGTTAGTTTGAGAATTTTGATTGGACGAATGGTAACATGAGCATTACAGAATTGTGATACTTATGTTTCAAGAAATTCTTGAATTTTCTTTTTTTCTTTTTATTCTTATTTTTTTTTAGAATCAAAAGTTGGTTTCTATTTTAAAAGTTAATTTCATTACTCCTTTACCAAAAATGGAAGAAAAAGAAAAATAAAAAAGTTGATCATTTGATCTGCAAGTGCAAGACTTGGTATTGGGGCCACAAAGGCAGAAAAGAGCAAAATCAAGCTCAATAACCCAAGGAGGGAATTCTTAACCATGTCTCTGAACGAGCCTCATCCAACCATCCATTGGTAAATGAGAAAGGTTGGGCCTTAATTACCTCTCACTTTGTGCTCCTAGATTTTGTTAGGTTTTGTTGGATTTATGACTCAAAATTTGAGTGCAGAAAATTAGTTTCTTTTTTAGTTTTGGAAGGTTGAAATTTGTAAAGGAAATTGTCTCTCATTATGTTTCTATTTTAGAGTTTTGATCATTATGGTAACTCCTTGTAAGTAAGTTGAGGAATACTTGTTTAATAAGGAATTATGTTTGCAAACTCTATAAATAGAGATGGGTGCGAGAGTTTTAGAGAGAGAGAGGAGAGAGAAAAGATGTACGTAAGAGATTTAAGAGTGATTATTGTGAAGAGAGGGAGAGTATATGTAATTCCCGAGTGTATATATACAGCCTCATAAGAGATGAAGAGTGAGTGAGTGTGGTTTTGATATGTGGTTGTATATTCTTTTTCTTGATTCATAAAAGTTAAATCTCTCTCTCCCATAAACATAACACTAGAGTTAGGTGAACCATGTAAAATATTGTGTTGTGCATTGAGGTGTATGATTGTTTTCTCCATATATGCTTGTATTAATGTGATGTGATGATGCTTCCATTGTGCGTGATGAAGGAGGGATTTAACTCTCAACAACAGCCGACCATTGAGTGGGTTGGAGGGAGTTAATTATTCCCAACAACTGATATCAGAGCCGATGGTAGGTCAGAGCAGAAGATGATCGTGAGGTGCTATGGAGATTCAATCATAGTTGATGATGATGTACATGCACGAAGGTATGAATAAGGTGATGATGTGAAGCCCATGAGGAACAAGTCTTGGGACAAGCCAGATGATGCTTGTTTTCAACATGGGGCAAAGGTGATAGAGTTGAAACCCACGAGAAACAAGTTTGGGGACAAGCCAAGAGTGAGTGCTAGTTTTTATGATGGGGCAAGGGGTGTGAAGACTGAAGGGGTATGCTCTAAGCCCGATAATGAGCAAAGGGGAATATGAAGAGTGAAGATGAGAGGTTTGTTGCTTTGATCCAAAAAAGCAATTGATGAAGATGAGTTGAATATTGGTAAGTTGCCATGCGTGAGCAATTGAACACCAATGGGATGGATAGAGAAGATAGAAGGAAAATGATGAATGATGAATCTGAGAAAATGTGGAGATTGTTAGAGTATTTCTTAAGTTTATCATAATGATTTATTTGAGGTAGAGAAATCTTCAGTTGAGGTGGAACTATGAAGAGCTTTATGTTTCTAATTTAGAGTTTTGATCATTATGGTAACTCTTTGTAGGCAAGTTGAGGAATACTTGTTTAACAAGGAATTAGATTTGAAGACTCTATAAATAGAGATAAGTATGAGATGTTTAGAGAGAAAGAGAAGAGAGAAAAGATGTGAGAGGTTTAGAGAGGGAGAGAGAAGAGAGAAAATATGTAAGGGGTTTAAGGATGAGTGATGTAAAGATAGGGGAGAGTATATGTAATTCCCTAGTGTATACATGTAGCCTAATAAGAGATAATGAGTGAGTGAGTGGGGTTTTGACATGTAGTTGCTTATTCTCTTTCTTGATTCATAATAATGAAATCTCTCTCTCCCATGGTCGTAATCTTAGAGTTGGGTGAACCATGCAAAATTAATATTATGTTGTGCGTTAATGTGTATGATTGTTATCTTCATATATGCTTGTGTTGATGTGATGTGATGATACTGTGAGATATAAATTTATGATTGGCAATATTCAATGTCAACAAGTCCTAGTCGAGTTGTAATTCAAGTTACCATATCAAGATCGACATCGACTGCGAAATTAGAAAGTTGTTCAAAGAAAGAATATTAAGATCATTGAAAAATGAAAGAACAACACTATTAGGAAGTCATTTCCCACTTAGGACACAATACCTACAAGGTATATTTTCCGAGTTACCAAAAATGGAATTTTCTATCTTCTGCTTAAATTCTGTCAAGTGGGAATTGGTACCACATTTGGGAACCGATTCAAGAACCTGTCCTTCGAAGAATTCTATTCAATCCAATGGGAACCGATTCCACATCTTGCTATCGGTACCACTGTTATTTTAGCTTTAGATAACTTTATCCTGATCAGTTTTAAACTTCCTATTTGGTTTAGAATGTTACCAAAAGTCCTATGCACGAAATTTCCTTTATTTTCTGTAAGATTAGACCTTTGAAAATTTTATATAAACTCCGATACACATCTAGGTTTATTAATGGCTTTTGCACTATCAATTCATTATTCTTAAAAGCCTTAGGAATATTTTATTTATAGAAAATCCAAGAGATTTCTCTGTCAGTCTTTCTAGAACACACACATAAACACAAGAGTGAGTTTAGAGTGTTGTTGAAATCCTGATCGTAATCATATAGTTGCATTTACAACAATCAGAAAAAAAAAAAAAAAAAATAGATCTACTTCTATATCGAATTCAGATATTGAAGAACAGAAGTAAAAACGATCACACTTTGAAAGAGTCAAATCATTCGAGGAGTGTTGTTTGATCTACCTGCTACTTTTTTACAAAGATCAAACAAAAACCTGAGGTCAAGTTGTTGTTGGACGGGACGTCGCAAAGCTAGAGGATTATCAGCTATTGATATTTGGTAGAACGATAGGGTGTGAGTCAAAGTCAAAGTTCAGTGTACTTTATTTTAAACATAGTGGATCGGTTTACTTTGGACTGCACAGTACATGAGGTTTTCCTATGCAAATAGTTGACATATATATCAACTGGGGTTTTCTAGCTAAAAATCCTGGTATCATCTCTAACTCTTACTTTGTTTTGTTTTATTTGCATGTGATTAATTATTTAATTATTAAAATAAGTAAAGTTAGAAAGACACTAGATCTAATTCTAAAAATACAAAATTTTCTAAATAGTTCGTTGCGTGCGACTCACAGATACTTCCGTTGTGTGTGATGAAAGAGAGATTTAACTCTCAACAACATTCGACGGTTGAATTAGTTAGAAGGAGTTAATTATTTTCAACAGGTTCAAATCTCCTTTTCCTTAATTCTTAGTAATTCCTAAATCTCTAACCATTGTCACGTAAAAAAAAAAAAAAACCACACCATTGAAGCTTATTATAACGAAAAGTGGAGAGTCAATCGAAAGATGAAGGCACACCCATCTCACTTAGAGGCCCAATTCAGTCATTATGAGAAGCCCTGGCCCAACACCAAAACTACTAAATACTAATTCAAAACATCAAAGGAAACTTCAGTCTTGTGAGTCAAGTGTTCTGTAAGAAACGTCAGTCTTGTGAGTCAAGTATTCTGTACAAGGTTATGGAATCCCCGAAAGTAACAAATTGTAGAAGGAAAGAATTTGAGGCACAACGAAGATCGTCAGAGGACTCAAACATTATGGCCGTTTTGGAATGTGTTATCCCATTATTTTTTCGATATTGATTTTTAAATTTGGGTCCATATCATATTTGGGACAACTGATATTAGTTTGAAATAGTTTATAACATATCACAGTTTTCAGCCCAAATTCATAACACCAAATTAGTGACATTGTGTATTTTGGTACTATAACGGGGAAAATAAAGAAAATTTTTGAATTTTTCAAAACAATTTTTTTTTTTTTTACCAAACATAATTCAGATTTCTAGCCAAAAACACTCCTATAACAAAATAGTTATTTTGATATTGACAAAAATTATAATGTTTAAAATATATCACATGCCAAACGGACTTTTATCAATTATAAATATAGACAAAGACCGCCAAAAATCATAAAAATTCTCTTCTAAACAATTGCTGGTTCAGAGTTTATTTAGGCGGTTTCTATATTCTTTTGTGTTTTGCATTAGTGATACCTCAGTTTTGTGCCCTTGTGTGTTTTTCTGATCTCTTGAGCTGCTTTGTTGCTTCTTGACTTTGTGTCATCTTTTTGGGACCCATGTACTGTTGTACATATCTTCCTTATTTATACAAGTTTACTCTTTTAACTAAATAAAATAAAATAAAATAATAAAGAGT